CTTTCTGGGTCCCCATTCAATGACAGTTGAATATCATTTATCAGGACAGCACCATCAAGAGACACAGTCTGCAGAAGCGCTGATGTGCTTAAATGCTACCACTTCACTGCCAGAGCTGTTGCCATCTGAGCCTGGGCGTGATAGATAGATAGCCTGGACACATAAAGAACTGGACCAAGAGTTTGGACAGAGTTTCAGCTATCCCTGCTCCTTTGGGAAACACACAAGGACTCTGTGTCTGGTAGGAGAGCAAGCTTGAGATCTGCTTACTTTCAGTAAAGTTTGGGCAAAAAGAAATAAATAATAATTTAATTAGTACAGCTCAGAGGAATGAATTTAATCACAGCCTCAAATTACTGTACAATGTAAATGAAACAGTGTTTCTGTAACTGCAACACCAGTAAGAGATCATTCTTCTAAGATGAAGGATTTTCTTACTTTCGTTTTGAACTAAACTAACCAAATTCACATAAAGACAAATTCATTCAGTGTGTCAGAGCATCATAGAACTTAAACTTTCCCACAAAAAGTGACATGGTTGCTGCAGGCTGGGAATTCAACTGTAAATTAGCCAGGGCTCTTATCATCCTTGTATTTTTATAGGAATACAACCAGAATGCAACCAGTTGACAACCACATTAAACAAGTCATCTGCTGCAAAGAGACGTCTCAGAAAAGTTACCCTCATAATGCAGACTGACTCCGTTTGATTGCAGTGGGTTGCAATCTGCGTTTATGAATTAGACAGCAATCATTTGCTAACTTCAGAGTAATTATAGTCGATCCAAGTCACACTGCAGTTATTGCCTCCTAACAGACAACCTTTTTGCAGTTGCTTTGTGAGTTTGAGGGTTTTGCATGCTTAAGCTCTGCTTGACCAGTTGGTCGCTGCAACTATTTGCACTCAGTCTCCAAACAGCAAAAATATTTAGTGTAGTAGTTGCAAAGAGGTTGCTGTCCTTTTTTTTTTAAACTTTAGTGTGACTAAGCTATTAAAAATTGTACCCTGTATAAAAATAGTCTTTTTCCTCTCTGTTTTTAGTCATCTGTTTAGTCAGAAATTATGTGCTCTGAATTTGTTTGTTTGTTTTTGTATTTGGGTGCATTTGTGACCTATGCAAACGTGAGTTAGCTTTATGCTAACATTTCCTTCTGCCAGGGCAGAGAACAGAGCAGAACAGAGCTGGGCTGCCAAATATAAACTACTATGGATAAAAATACACACTGCATCTGCCGTGTTTTACAGATGATGTGGTGTGCCTTCTACATGCTTATTTTTTGCAATCATTCTGGTAGAGGGTGATCTTGGTGTCAGCAAAGTATTGTCAAACTTAATCTTCTATTCTTGAGGCTTATGAGTGACTTGTGCCTTGCAGTGAACCCTCTGTATTTACTTTCATTCAGTCTTCTCTTTATGGTAGACTTGGATATCAATAAGCCTACGTCCTGGAGAGTGTTTTTCACTTGGCTGTCTGTTGTGAAAGGGTTTTTCTTCACCATAGAAATAATTCTGTGATCATTCACCACTTTTGTCTTCTGTGGACATCCAGATCTTTTTGCCTTGCTGAGTTCACCAGTGCTTTATTTCTGTATCAGGATGTTCAAAACTGTAGATTTTGTCACTCCTAATACTACTACAAGGAGCTAAAACTCCTAAACCCTTCATCCAGTTTGAATGTGGACACCCTCAAATGAAACCTGAGAGTCTAAACATTATGTCCTTTTCCGTTATATAAGTATAATTGGAAAATGTTTCAGTAAACAGGTAAAAGAAAAATGTGTCAGTGTCCAAATATATATGGACATAACTGTAGATAATGTTTAGAAATCTTTAACTTTGTTTGGTGCAATAATAAATCATGGTAATTAAATATATTAATTGTTTATAGTTTTCATTATTGGCCAGCCAGGAAAATCAACCTGCAGGCCACAAACAAACCTTTTCATATCCTCTATTAATATGATATATAACAGTCAGTTAAGAGAAGAAATTAAAGTGTATAAGTGTCATATTTATTCATTTTTTCATGATTTTTCTCTTTTTTAAAAATACCATCTGCTCTGCATGATCACTGGGATCATCCCTCTGCACAATGATTTGCTGGATTGCATTGAACAGTTAATAAAGTCTATCCTCCCTGTGCTAACAAGGTTGCGGGAGGATTTTATCCTCACTTGCTTTTTGTCTCTGGACACATTATTCGGTGGCACTAAGTAACTTTTAAAAGCCTTTAATTTAGTAGAAGCCCCATGCCATGATTCTTTTAAAAGCATTGGATTTCAATAATGAGTGGACGTGTTAAGTTATTCATCAATGGCGCTCTATCCATGCTGGCCCTGAAGAACCCAAACAAAACATCGGTCGCTTAATTTGCCCTTACAGTGTGTCCATTTAATTCACGTCAGTCAGCACAGTAGCACTTAGCACAGTAGCAAAAGCAGTGCTTTTATGTGTCACTGCAGACTGCTGTGCATGAATAAATATTTATCAAGCTCACGATAAAGTGCTCTCTGGGTTCGTGTTTTATTATCACAGTCATATTGAAGGAACGCGTTAGCGTGGTTAGCTCATTAACGCGTTAGCACCGTGCAGCCCCATGCACAGGGCGATCCGCGCTAACTCGCTAACAGAGATTTGACACGTTAATGCAGTTATGGCATTAACGTCATTTTAACAAGATTAACGCTGACAGCACTAATAAATACTACACACATAGAGCACAGCTGTTTATGAAATTGCCTTTTCATACATAACACAAAATGCATTGTTGGTCTGTTTTTGTGAGCCACACACAGGTGGGCAGTCCTTGGTCTTGTCGTTCTTAGAACTTATAATGGCAACAAACAGACTGTCTTTTCTTGAGTTTAGCCTTTAGAAAACTCTAACAGTGCATTTGTATATAGTGGTTTCCATGCACTCCCCTCAGTGAATTCTCTTCCAGCAGCAGATCAGTGACTGGACTGCTAATGGACCCTGACGAACAGGAAGTGGAAAGTAGTATATAACAAGCCACTGGAGACAACACGTTGTACTCTGGAGGGCCATTAACCAAAGTTTCCATTTATTTATCTACACACCAAAAATAGGAGGGTGTAGTGGCTTCTTGCTAATTGCCAAACAGAAAACCATTGAGGTAGCTGGGGAGCAGCACCATAGCAGCAGACTCCTCTCTGGTAGTTCCCGATGGTTGTGTTCCACTCAGTAATTTTCTCTGATGCACGCTGGCAGGACGGAGATACCTGCTGCACTGACTGACGTAACAACCTGGTTTCCAAAGTGGCACCAGGGACCGAGCATGTGCAGTGGAACTGTAGTGTCACGCAGGAGGAGAAGCAGGACAGATGTCAAATGAGTTGACGAGCACTGCAGAAAAAGGCTCCGGATATGAGTGCAGGTACCTTGTCAGAGCTTTTCTCCAGGAAAGGCAAGCAGCGGCTGGCTCTGTGAGCTTTCGATACCCACAAATGATACCCGCCAGACCATTTTACAAACCGTAACTGACACCCATGAAGTGCTCTAAGTAAGCCCCAGGGAAGGGTAAGGTTAAGCTCGAAAACAAAACACTAAAGCGGGTCATGTAATAGGCCTCTCATTTTGCCGCTGCCTTTGTCAAGCCTGCTGAAGGAAACCTAATTTATTTAATAGCCTGTCGCTTCAATTCCGGGCGATCGGTGCGAGAAAACAGAAGGCAGAAATGATGAAAGAATAGCAGGAGAGAGGGAGGACAAACACTTTCTTCACATTCACTAGCGAGATGTGATTTCGAAAGTGAGGATCTGTGTCAGCCATCTGGTGATAACGAATAGCAGAGAACTATGTCAGCATGCTTCTTTCAATAATGCAAGCATGCATGCTGTCACTACATAACTGACATTTCAAGGCGAGACTTCCGCGAAATGCCAACTTCTGTGCATCTGTTACAGATATACTGTACATGCATAGCCCCCATTTTCTTCTGACAGAATGAATCTGTTGAAAAAATAAAACACATTCTCCTTTGTGCCACTGTACGTTCTTTATTATTACAGGAAGCGATTCAAGCGTGTTGCAAATGACTGTATTTGTTTTCAGCGGCATTTGCATTTGCAGGGATTTAGCCGGCATCCCATTCTCTCTCTCCGTTTCTTTGCACTAGCAATCATATTCAGCTAATCAAGGTTGCCAGCAGAGATAAATCAAATCTAAAGCTTAGAGGTCTTGACAGAACGTATTGGCCTTCGGTGTAATGAAAAAGCATTTCTCATTCGACAAAACATAAGCTGCTGATTTCATGCTTCCGTGTTCCTTTCAAGGCCTTTGCAATTGTGAGAGGTGACAAATGATGCATAAATACTTTAGAAAAGCCTTACTTTTGATTGGGGCAGATTTTATGTCATATATAATAACATTATTTTATATGATCACGGCTTCATATGGTGAATGATTGGATCAAGACCATTTTATTTACTGTATATATGGTTTCTGAAATGTGGCAAACAACACATGAGTTTCAGCAGGACAATTAAACTGCCAGACACTCTGCAAAGTGTTTGGCAGATTCATACACCTCTGCATCCGGCATTCTCCTCCCCTCCGTCTTTTATTGTTATAGAATGCAAATGTTATATCACCCATGTAGTACTAAAGAATCTCACCATTGGTATTTTTCTCTTTACAGCCCCAGTCAGCACTTGCACTGCACTTTACTGCCGTTTCCTTTTCATGACTGTGTTCACAGCATCACTTTAAACCTTGTATAAAATCAAGCATCCACCAGCTTTTGCAGACTGATACCCTGGTTAAACTTTGACTCTAATGCCTTTTAAGTTGCTTAAAATCTGTCTGAGCATCCGAGCAGCTGTCTCAAAGGGTCCATTTGACTTCTCCATAGCAACGCTGCCAGATGAAGTTTCTTTTTAATGCTCATTACTCTGTATAAAAATGTTTACTGTGGGTTATCCAGCATGCTGGTTCAAATTACTATGACTGTAAATTCAAGGATTCAGTGATCGGCCAAAAATATTTTCATATGCAATAATACAGTTTATTGAAAAAAAATTTAAAATATACAATGTGTTGTTGAGATATCATGGTTTCATTAAAATTAAATGAGAAAAGTCATCACAGCGTACATTCGCTGGCCACTTCATTAGGTTTACGTGTCCAACTGCTTATTAATGCAAATATATAATTACGGGCTACAGCAGCAGAAACCCACACCAGGTGCCACTTGTGGGGAATATTTTCTTGGCTCATTCTGGGCCCCTTGGTAAACACCACAGCCTACGTGAGTATTGTTACGGACCATGTCAAACCCTTTATGACCACAGTGTACCCATCTTTTTCTTCCAGCAGGATGACACATCGTTCTCACTCTAGGAGTAACTAATGAAGTGTCCAGAGAGTGATTTTTCTTTTTTGCTAAATGTTTGTGTTAGATACTTGTAGTTCAAAAACATATACCCTTAGCTTGTAGCTTTATAAAAAATGTGAATACTTATACGAAAGTCATGCAAACAAAACATAACATTAATATTCAAACAGTGGTGATTCTCCGGACATTCTTGCAGTCATCCTCTGGGGGACACATGTTGGCCTGGCTCTCACTTTGTGTAGAAAAGCTGCTGGAGGACACGACATCAGGGACCTGATGAAACCGTCAAAGTTTAGGTTTTACTGAACAAAACTACAACATTTTTGAGCAGAGTAGAAGAACAACAGGTACCTGTGATATGAAAACACCAGGAAGAAAACTACCGCCTTAAACTAATAGGTACCAGTCATTCATTAATGACCAACAGGAAAGATATAAACAGCAAGACAACTTGCAAGTCTTCTGAGGTGCAATTACAGTATTGACAAGACCAAGCTGGAGGATACATTGGAAGGGTCTGGTCTATACATCTGTAGATCATCATTTATGATACATTATGACAACGAGGGTGATGACAGATGTCCTGTTAACTAAAAATAGTGTCATTATTACTGGTTAATGCAGTAATCTGTTGAGATTAATCTGCATGATGGGAGGCCAGCAGAGGTGCAAGAGTGCATTTCCCTTATGCTCTTTGTAACAGGGAAGGATGTGACATGACGTCCAGCTGCAGAATGACTGGCCGAATTATTCAGCTCCAGTTCATCTCTGTTTCTCTGACTCCTATCCCTCCCACCTTCTCTGTTTCTATCTTACCTTGCGAAAGCTGACAAAGTCCATCTGTCTACGAGTTTCCCAGAATAGGTCACTGTTAACTGCATCTGCAGAGTGAAAAACAGCTTTTTAGCTTCATCTAACCTAACAGCTCCTTCAAGCGGCAACAGCATACTTCGGACCTGAAGGAGACCTCAGTAGGAGAGAGCAGGATTTCGGAGGTTTAATGGCTCAGAGGTTTGGAATGGGTAGCACACAATCGTGGTGTTTTACACCCAGATATGACAAATTATGGTTGCCTGAAGATGCACTGGAGCCACCTACTGTAGTTATGAATTATTAAGGGGTTAAAACCTAATTGACATTTTAAGAAAAACGCGTTAAGCTATTTTCAAATACCTTACATACCCAAAGACTTATTTGTAATTTATATGTGTATTTATGTAAAGTCATGGTAAAAAAAAAAAAGTACTTATATTCTAAAGCTTTCTTCCTGCCTAGCAAATGTAGAAGGCAGGACAAGTAGAAGATCACAGAGAAGATTCATGGATGCAGTGAAGGAGGACATGTAGAGGGTTAGTGTGACAGAAGAGGATAGTAGGGATGGGAGCGAGGGAGACGATCTTCTAAAGGAAGCAACTGAAAAATATATATACAGAACAAGCATAATGCCATGAAACACAGCATATCAGCACAAACACCTGATTCCAACTGTTGAGCATAGTGGTGGAGGGTGGGTAAATTGGCTTTTTGCAGCAACAGGAGCTGGGCATCCTCTGGTCATCGAGTCAACCATGAAAGTATTCTAGACTCATATGTGAGGCCATCTGTCCGACATCTAAAGCTTGGCCATTATTGACTCATCAATAGGACAGTGATTACAACTGTTGCAGTCAAAGTCCAAAGCTCAGTGATTGAAATGTCAAGGTGGGACACAAACCTCAATGAACGGAAGCACTGTTGTACAGAAGAGTGGGACAAAATTCTTCCACAGCGTGAAACGCTGATAAGGTCACAGAGGAAAAGATAAGTTTTTGTTTTTGCAGCTAAACTTGTTTATACAAGCTAGGAGTTCATGGTTTATTCATTAACTGCAAAGCGCCCGGGTCCTGCAGCTGCAAAACAAACCCAAATCATCACCACTCCACCATCGTGCTCAACAGTTAGTTTGAGGTGTTTGTGCTGATATCTTTAGCAAATAATGGGGTCTACTTAGTTTTTCATGCACTGCTATTGTTTTATTGTTAAATAAATAATGACATCATGTAAATGTCATGTTTTATAGGTCATCTGAGGTTGCTTTGACCTAATTTTAAGACCAGAGATCCTTTTTTTCCCCGGGGAGCAAAACCTTTGATTTTTTTGTTTGTTTGTTTTACCATGTCTATTGTAAAAAGCCAGTGTGATTGATTTATCTTGTTTTTCTTCCTCTTCCACCACAAATCATGTGTAACTGACATTACACATGATCATTTTGCAAACCATGCAGCTGTGCTTTTGAATTCTGCATGAATATCTTTTTCTACTGGCTTACTCCCCACATGGCTCACGAATTCTAATGTTACCTACATTTTGTAATTCTGTACAGCAAACATGAAAAGCTACATTGTTATTGTGGAAAAAGCCAAAGCAGCCAAATCACTCTGCAATAAAACTGCACTGCTAAGTGATCATAATCTGACTTTGACAGAAGAAATTAAAAACTTTATCATATTATAGATTTATTTTGAATTAGTCACGCACGTTTCAAAACGTCTATTATGTGAAAATGAAACCTGCTCAGGCGCCAGTGCTGTAATTTACCGGGAAAGGTCAATACAGAAATTGATCACTGAACACAGCACATTACGCTGAAACATCTCCGGAAGGCAACACAAACACTGAAGTCGTTTAGATCAGTGCGACTGTAAACATATCCGAATGGTAACGACCTTAATACTTTTAATTGAATGCTAAGATCTGCTGGTCACTCTCACCTGTGGGGCTCTCACTAGAGTATCCCAGGTTAACTTTCCCTTCCGGCGCATCAGCATCGACGCTTCTACTAAACACCGATTGGTCAAACCTGCAATAGAAATGATAACGATTAGCGGAGGTATGGCAGAGTCACATCATCAGAGGCTGTTGTGAAAAGACAATTTTCTTCTCCCAGCTAAGCTGCAGTATATTACAGGCCTCTGTGCTGTTTTCATTATAAAGTATTTGGACATCATTCTTCACTTTATTTTAATATCAGACTGAAGTACTCAACTCTGAATGTGTATTTCAGCTATATGGAAAACAAATGTTGAATAAGTTAGCTTCCTAAAAGAGCTAATGACAGTCCGAATCATGTTAAATTACTACCAAAATAATTACTTTTTAAAGGTGGAATTTCAAATTTGTGCCTTCAATTTTCTTTTATAATGATAATCAATGAAAACCTCTTCATTCCCAGAAATAAGCTGCATGAATTCTTAACAGCTAATGTAAAATATAAATGGAGCTCAGTGCACCCAGGACTGTGCTGTAGGTCTCTGATTACAGAAGCTGCTTCCTCCACAAAAAAGTCCCACAGTAGATCTAAGGGTTAGAAATCTCTGTATATAACAAAAGAGCTCTTAAATCTCACCTTAGTACCTCCTGCGGGCTTGTTTCTGAAAAGCAAAAAGGAGAGAGAGAGAGAGAGAGAGGCATCGAGTTTACTGTAATGAGCTATCAGCTGCTAACTTTATTATTCTCACTGCATTGACCACAGAAACATTATGCTTGCTCATTGCATCTACATCAATATGAAAGCTGTAAATGTCCTGCTGTTTATTAGTTTGGTTTCTGCACTAATATCACGGCCTCCAGCCAGTCTACAATTTAGCACTGAAAGCTGGAGCTAATGAGTTTTGTAACATGGCTTCATGGTTTCCTTTGCCAAAGGTCCTCCTGGCCATGGCGAGAACAACACCAGCGTAACAATGGTACAGATGGCACTTGCCTCGGGAGAGATATAAATGCTTCACTTTCCCTTTATAGGCAGAGAACCAGTCTTTGTCATTATATTTTAAATCCCTGCTGTCACGCTGGCCAACGTCTTTGAGAGCTAGATCCCTTACATTTCTCCCCCATAATTCCAAAGCATACATTAGTCCCTACTGAGGTGGATTACTCAGAGAAGAGCTCAGCAACTCGAAAGCATGCCACATCCCCTAACATTAGAAGCATCCTTATGAATTAACTCAAGGATGTTTCAAAGAATGGAGCAAGGACAATGACGGAGGAGGTATCAGACGTTTCAGGTACTGAATCAACTGCCAAAAGAGAAAGGTCACACCTGCTTTATAATAATCCCCTGGCTCCAAACCATGGCCACGATTTGCAATGGTCCAGAATCAGTCACAGGGATTACACTGACTTAAAATGTGTGACTCAGGGCCACTTTTTTCTTATCGCACACAAACAGACCTCTTCTGCCTCCTAGAGTGAGCTTCCCCTCGGAGATGGCCTTTGTTATCTGTAGTCTTTAATTACTGTATGCTTGGTGAGTTTTTTCCTTAAGAGTTGTGTGATTAGATTGATAAACCTTTCTTGTTTGTACAGTAAATATGAAACAAAGAGCACAGTCAGTCAGAATAGCTTAACACATAAAAAGGTGTCTCTATTCAAAAGTAGAAAATCCACCTAAAAAGCACATTTTATCCAGTTTGCCTACAATAACCTGAGAATCAAACATAGAAGATGTAACATTTAATGAATTCTTTGAATTGTTCTTTTTCCAAGATAGAGTGATTGTACAAAATAGATATTTAATGACATTAAATAACACGATTTTCTATAATCCACACAGAGCCAAAGTATACATACAGACTGACTCAAATATATAAATACATTCCCTTTTAATAAGTGGTGCTGAAGGTTTTGCAATGTCTTTAAGCTTGACAAGACCTCTTGTCAGTAATCAATTTGAGCACATCTGGTAGTTTCTTTTAATAGCATGCAGCAGACTGACCAATGCTCGATGCTTTTGGGAAGATCTCTGAGATCCATTGCTGAACACTGCAGACTCCAAGATCATCAGTTTAAACAACTCGAGGTAAAGATTTTTAAGCTGTGTCACCATGTTGGTGAAGTCTGGAAGTAGACCCAAGCTGTCACCCTCAGATGAGAGGAAATGTGTTAGGATGTTCAGGAACAACCACAAGGCTTAAGCCTGTCATGAACTGGAAACTGCTGGAAAACCAGTAACACTGTCCACAGCGAAGCAAGTTTAACATCACCATGGACTGAGAGGGTGCTGGCCAAGAAAGAAGCCCAAAATCAGCACCTTCAAACCTGCCTGAAATTTGCACCTTTCCACATGAATAAGAAAAGTTTTATGATCAGACAAGGCAAAGACTGAGTTATTTGGCTACAATAATAAGAGGTAAGTTTGGAGCAGTAAAGGTGAGGCTTTCAAACCTAAGAATACTGTACCAAGTGTCAAGCATGGTGGTAGCATCATGTTCGAGGGCTGTTTTGCTGCCAGTGGTACTGGTACATTGCACAGTGAATGGAATAATGAAGGAGCAGGACTTACTTAGCTTCACTTTGAATTAACAGCTAAACAGGTGAAACTTTAACACAGTTTTGTGTTATGCAGGAAAATGATGCCAAACGCATCAGAACTGGTTTTGGAATAGATGAAGCAGACCAACATTAAGCTTCTGGAATTAGCTTCCCAAAGCCCTGACATCAAACCCCTTGAAAATTTGTGTACAATGATTGACAAATTTTGTTAATGTTTTTTTTTTTTTTTTTTTTTGGGGGGGGGGGGGGGGGGGGGGGGGGGGGGGGGGGGGGGGGGGGGGGGGGGGGGGGGGGGGGGGGGGGGGGGGGGGGGGGGGGGGGGGGGGGGGGGGGGGGGGGGGGGGTGGGGGGGGAGGGGGGGCGGGTGCCAAATTTAAATAAACTCGCACCAATCCAACCAGTTTCGCCAAGAGAAGAGTCAAATATTCAGCCTGAATTATGCCAAAAGCATGTTGATAGCTAAGGGATGTTAAATAAATATTAGTGGGGGTTTATGTACACTTGTAAAAATCTTGTTTTTAAAAGTCTTTATAGATGTATGCAGCACAGTCATTGTACTCTGGAAAAACAACAGTTCAAAGAAGTCATTAAAGGCCCCAAAGTACCATGACATTCATGCCCATGATGAGTGTACTGTATGTTAATTTCTGACCACAACTGCAGACTTAGCCTTTAGGTTGGCTGTTTTCTGTGTTTCCAGGAATTCTCTAAGCAAATAAATATCCCAATGACATTTCGTGGCTGTGTGTTACTGTGCGAGTCCCTTTGTTTATGTGTGCAGACGTGTACCTGAATAGTTGGCGATTCTGCTGATATAAATGTAAGAACGCTTCACTGTGTAAGGGATGTTCTTATAAGAAATACTACCTACCTACTACCTACACTAATCCAACTAAAATCACACTTAGTCTTCCCACTCTGCAGCCATGCACACACACTTCTATAACCTTTCCTGCTGCTGTTTCCTTTCTGCTGAGAACAAATGTTCTGCTTTTGTCAGAAAGAATACTGTGTACCCTTGTTGAAGGCCACCATGGGGCAGTGCCGAGTCACAGCATGCATCCACCCGTCTTCTTCATTATACTTTACTCACAGTTTCTGTGCTGGAAAAGTGTGATGTATGTTCACGGACAGCAGTTTAAGGTAAAGTGCCTACTTGCTTGTCTCCTTTGTCTGTAGCAGAGGACAGTGCAGATGCAGAGCAGGAGGAGCACCAGAAAACCAGAGAGGGAGGCAGTTATCGCCAGCGGGACTGTACAGTAGCCTCCTTCCTCCAACACCTCGGCGACTGAGGAGAGAAGGTCACATTGTTTAGTAAAGAAAACGAAAGCAGTGTTTCTGTTTTGTCTGCTTTTTCACATTGCAGCTAATCTGCAGATTTGCAGACTTGGTGGATAGAAAACTGTTTAATTTCCTGGTTTAATTTGTAGTACAGTCATGAGGGTGTGTGCAGAGGGAAGCTGCTCTGAGTGAAGAAATTGTTGCAACAGCGAGAACAAATTGAAAATGCTAAGATTCTAAATGCGTTTGTATTTTTAAGATTTGGGCCTCGGAGAGATGTTTGTAACATCAACACCCTGTGATGCAGACTCATCCAGCACTGACTTGGCAGCCCTTTTTCTGTACTGCTCTCCACATCTAAAATATCGCTCAGTGATGATTCACATGCTTCCCAATAGAGAGAAGGGGACAGATATAAAAAAAACATGGAGAACAAAGTGAGGAACACAATGAGTGAAAGATTAAAAAAAGAAACAAAAAGACATGTAAAGAGAACGAAAGCAAGACAGAACAAAAAGAGGCTTGACAGACAACTCTCACTGTGCATGTGTGCATGTGTGCATGTGTGCATGTGTGCGTGTGTGTGTTTGTATCAGCGAATGAGTGCCATGCAGAGAAAGAGCCGAACTGGCATCAAGTGAACAGGTAAAATTGTTTTGAATCTTTAAGTAATTTGTGAGTTTTTATTCAGTTATTTAATGTGTTTTAGTGGCAAGATAAACCATACAGACTAAACACAGAGGCATTAATACATTCAAGCACACAAGCAATTAAACACTATGAACTGGCTCTAAAATGTTTGTGGTCACTTTATAATAGCTAAGTTGTAAAAGTGCAGTCACTGAACATTTTGACAATAAACTGTATTTGAATAAAACTGTTTCCTGTAGCCTAAATTATGGCTTTGTACCCGAATAGAACTAAAGATTTTTTGATAGGGTTAATAACATGTCTACTAACTATTTCATGTACAAATTATTGCTGAGAGTTACTCCAAGAACGTCCTTAGTGGCTCTTCATCAGAATGTTTATTTATTTGATTAAATGAAAAGCAGTCACTTTGTATTTTTAACACCTAAAATTCAATGTTATGCCATGATCCTGCCTAACAACATAAAAGTCTCCAAAAAGCTATGGAACATAATATAAATGCAAACTCTTATATTGCACTCTAAACACAGTAGATGTGAAATGGCAGGAAGAATCAGTGCTCTGTTGCAGTATGCAGAGTACAGATGGAAAATTATCATAGTACAAAAAAACACACTGCCTTTGCAGACTGATGATCAAACACAGAGATAGAGGTCACTGAAAAATGACAAATACTGAACGTTGCTGCTCATAGACATTCAGTGTCACCTAAAGGTAGTAACTGAGAAGTAAGATACCACAGCACTTACATGATTACATCCTACTACAAGTAAATGAAACTTTTAACTTACAAATACATTAATGCAGTTGACATAAATTATGCAGGTTAAGGCGTAAAAAGGTAAGTGAGGTTACCAGGCTGAAAATCTGTATTTTCTGTTTGTGCACACAGTCCAGTAAAGACTCTCTTAGATGTGTTTTTTCAGGCTTGCTACTTCTTCTTTTGTCCTTCACCTCCAGAGATGGTCGTGTGGGAAATTCCCACCCAGTAGATCAGCAGTTTCTGAAATACTCAGATCAAACCATTTTGCACCCGCAGCCATGCCACGTTCAAAGTCACTTCAATCACCTTTTCTTTTCTGATGCTAAGTTTGACCCTTCTAGAATTATACATTCTTAAATCAGCATCAGACTATCCGGTCTTTAAGCAATGACGTGATGAATCCTGCTTCCGGGCCCAAACTACTCTGCGTTTTTCTTATGAAAAGTTTTTCCAGCAATAAAAGCTGCCGCTTTAAGTTTCATTCCGCGTACGAGTGTGTGTTTGGGTCCTACAACCTGCCTGCCACAGCACACCATGACAGAAGTCAAATTTTAAAACCTCATTAATATTTTTGCATAAGTCTCCGTCTATGATTAAAGATTTGTTTCTTTCAAATGTTTGTAAGGGCCCCTCACGGTTCTCCAAATACTTCCACAAGTCCAGTAAGTGTTCTTAACATAACATATTGATGTTATTATTTTTAAGAGAATTTGAACTTATTCTAACTGTTAACATATCAACAACAGTGACTGAAACCGGTATATAAAACTAGAGAATGCGTTTCCTGTAGAAAATGCAGTGTGAATGGTTTGAGTTGAATTTTTATAATTGCTGAAAACAAAAAAAACTTGTTTAATGGGCTGAAATACGCCAAATCATTCACCTGACAGCCAAAGTGCAGAACTGAAATTCACACAGAAGAATCTGGAAACTAGCTGAAAGGCTTGAAAATGTACATAAGAGAAACATGTCTAATAGCAAAAGAAAATTTAGAGCTAGAACACATGAATGGATATTGAAAGCTCATATTCTTTACATCACTGGAAGAGTGGAATTAATATTTTAAATGTCTAAACTCAACAATCTCAAATGAAAAAAAAGAATATTTTGTATTCTTGGTGTGTGTGTGTGTGTGTGTGTGTGTGTGTGTGTGTGTGTGTGTGTGTGTGTGTGTGTGTGTGCGTGTGTGTGTGTGTGTGGGTGTGTGTGTGTGTGTGTTGTGTGTGTGTGTGCGTGATTGTGCTCTTCAGTGGTTGGGGGAGGGCAGAAACAGAGGCCAGACAGTCCACGTGAGAACTTTTTGCTGCCAGCACACTGAGCTTGCTGGTCAAGGTGAAGAGGCTCTCCTTCGACTCTTCACTGCTGATGTTGTATTCACTTGGACTCACCTCCGCACCGTTCCCCCAAGACAGAGAGGACCATTATTATTTATAGTTTAACATGCTTATTAATTTTAATGTTTACAGTCTTGTTTGTTCAGTAAGCACCCTGAATATAACCTGTTTTAAGGGACATTTCACCAGTGAATGTGTGCTGTACAGACAGATTTGTGCCCACTTCAGAAGAAATTGGAGAAACTGAGCAGTTGGAAGGTGACCAGTGTGTCTGAGATTTGTCATCAGAGGAGGCAACTGCACTTTCTCATCCCCTCCCTCAATGGAGGGAGTGTGTAATTAGTTTAGTTTGTCTGTCTTTTTGGATTTATGTTTTTTCAGATGTAGGGTTTCAGATTCAGATCGGGACATGGAAACCTATATTGGCTAAGCATTTGACCTTGGCCTTGCTGAGTGCTCATGTATAGAAAATAAAGATATAGATTTCGAGGCCACATTTTACTACACCAAGTGTGTAAAATGTTATTGCATGCTCACATTTTACATTTCCCACATTGTTATTCATTTATTATCCCACAACACTTCATTCCAGGCCATTTTCTTTTCCAGATATACTGCTGTTATACTCATTGCCAAAGCCTCTGGCCTCTTACAGTGACATGTTGTGTAGAAAAGGACCTGAATGTGAACTTCAAAGGCAGAACTTGACAAAAAATAAAAACAACCTTTATTCAGCTGGAGTATAAGTCCATAAAACTCTAAAACAGAAAAGAAACTGCTAAATCCAAAGAAGCACAACAAGGCTAGGAGTAAAGGTGGTCAGAAAAAGGGAGACAGAGACTATAAATACACAGAGGGGTGAATGGGGCAGAGTGAGACACAGCTGAAACTAAATCAGACAACAAGACATGGGGACGTCAGACAAAAACACAGCACCAGAGACAAACAACTATCAAAATGACAGAATATAAACAACTTGACAACAGCATACAGGAAACACAGGGGTAAATAAATTGAAAATTCAAGAAGTTAATCACAAGTCCTCCTCATTGTTCCCACATTTCTGTTCATTCAGAGCATGCGCGTCTTTCCACTGGAAAGTCAGAGGATCCGTAAGCTGGAATTCAGATCTCAGTCTGTAAGTTTGGTTTGCAAGAATCATCAGTTGAAGAACTAGAAAATGACAAATAACCTGGTAGGCCAAGGAGCGTGATTCCTTTTATAGACTAGAAAATGTAATCACATGGTGTCTGATCAGTCGAACACAGGGATGGCTGTGTTGTGGCTTGGCATTTATTGATTTATTCACTGCAGACAAAAGCAACAGGATGAGGGCAGATGTATCTCACAGCATTTGTGTTGTCGGGTTCAGCCAAATGCATCAGAACTCACTGCACAACATTTCATCAGTCAGCACTTCCTAAAGACACGCTGTAGAGCTCTTTAAGGTGAAAGAGGGGAATATCCTTGATTGAGTCCATTATCTGGTCTCATGCACAAGGTGCAGATATTTATGGGTCAAACATTTCAGGAAGTCACTGAGTGCAAAGGATTTTACAGAAGAAATCTAATCTGATGAGTTTCTTTGATTTAATTTGCCCCTTTTGAAATTCTACATTTGAGGCACTATGTGTTTGTGATGTTAACTACATAAACCTACCTGAATTTAAGTCTTTATATTTTAGAGACAGCCAAAACAGACTTTTTGGGGGAAAATGGCAATATTTTTTATTTCCTTTGTTTCTTCTGATTGCCTGGAGTTCTGGTTACGGTCATCACCAATGATAACGTAGACCTCAGAGGGTTAATGTAGTAGCTACGATTTTATTATTCAAGAAATAGAATAAAGTACTTAACAGTCCCTTTATAGTACCAGATATACTGGCTGCACTGCCTGAGGGCATAGTAGGATATACTACAGGCTGAATAGTAAGAAAAACAAGTTTTAGTTCCGGTGTTTGTTAAAGATAGTGATGATCTTGTCTGATTGATTTTATGTATTTACCTTGTTATTATTCACCTCCCATTTCAGAACAGGCTCAGGGTACCATCCTGCTGCTTCACATTCAAACAGGACTGAATCTCGCTGAAAAGCCAACCTGTTATTCCCAAGGATTTTCACACTGCCCTTTTCTGAAATAAGAAAACAGTCAGTCATAAACCTGAATGATGTACTCTTTGCCTTATTTCTGTTTCACATACGTTTAGTAGATGTCCTTATGTATGAATGTATGTGAGTGGGTAGGAATCTTTCAGCGCCATCATCAGTCTCCTCTGAAATCCTTCTATTTGGATGCACGCGTCTCTGCCATCACCTCTTCAGCTGGGCTGTTCACTTACAAAAGATGGATTTCATTCGTCCCAGGTGATTGATCACATGTCTCCAATTCTCAATTGCCTGACGAATGCTTCTCCTTTTCTTTCCCCTTCATCTCCTTCCCTGCCAGCCAAATAAGCCACTTAAAGCCCCGGGAGATACAGTATCTCATATGTGAAGTCTGTTGTCAGGCAGAATGAAAGGTGGTGGAGGCAACACACAATTGCTACAGACAGAAAGATAATTGCAGGAACTTGGGTGCTTTGTCTGAGCGAATGGCATGTCTGTGTTGATTCAGGTTGAAATCCTCACATATTTTATACACATTATTGGCTGTCCCCTTCCTCTAGGAGCATTTATTTGATGCCTGATTTGGTGGCATGAGCACCATACGCACTCCTGTTCTTTGAACCACCCGTTCTGATGGTGGAGTTCCGGTTTTACACAATCTCAGCACCGCCAACTAAAGGTTAGCAGGCAACCAGCAGCCTCATTTGTACTGATTGATGAGCAGCTTCTGGCAATCGTGGCTGATTGATACAACCGAACAGAAAAAGAAAGGCATCGGCACACAAAGCCCCGCCCTACGTGATCCCTGAAATAAGGTTTCATATGGTTTGTTAATCACTGTAGGGAGACTGGTAGTGTGAAGCAGGGGGCTCTCGGCTAAATGTAATTTTAGTGATTTTTCAGCAGGGATCCTCGGGAGACTAAATTGCTGTTCTAAAGGAAGCTTTTTATCATTTGTATGTGTCTACGCGCAGATTTGAAGTGTGCCTGTGCAATTTGTCTTAAATGAACAGTACACACTCTATGCGTGTTTATAAGCTTACTCCAATGAGAATATCTGCTACGCCTCTACAGACCAATTACCACAAGCATTTTCTATCTTCTCTGATTTATCATGTCTCCTTTTCTACAGCCTCGCCTTCACTTCAGTCCCCGTTCGTAGTCAACAGCGCATGCAACCACACTAAGTTGCTTGAGTGAAGGGTTTGCGTAGATGCGCTGCATTTGTGATTTACCAAGCATAAGAACTAAGCACAGAAAGAGCAGGGAGAGGGTGTAGTTATATTTACATCATCTTCATTTGGGACAATTTGAGAGTGGAAGATAAGGGGGGGGGGGGGGGGGGGGGAAACAGAGTCAAGCAGCTTCGCTGTAAGTCTGCGTCTCTCTTCCAGCCGTACTTTTGAGACCACAGCACACAAATCACATGCAGAGTTGCTGACTGTTAACTGGGCGTGCCAGGATGCACAATTAATTCAAAGGTTATGTCAGGCCCTAGTGATCCTCTGCATCCAGACTGGAGGGCCTGATTCACCACACACTGCTGTTAATGGCTGCATATGTCAGTGGGGATTTGTGGCACTGGCAGCAACGGGGGCTCTCTCCATAATATATTGGAGGCATTGGGTCATTGGTTTCGTTTCCTGTCGCATTGTGCAGAGATGTTGGGGGGGGTTTAGTTCTTTTTTTAGCTGTGCTCTCAGTTCAAGTGCACGCACTTTAGATGCAAATAAACTGAAGCACGTATTGAAGAATTCCCTGAGTTGCCATGTTGTTTGATGCAAGCTACTTCCATGTGAGCTAAAATTGTGACATCAGCAGCTCAGAGGGACCACTGAAACCTCAAATCAAACATGACCATCACAACAGTCGCCAATTTGAACTCTGGTTGTAGACTTAGCAATTTCCAAATTTCTGGTAACACATCAAGCTAACAAATACTTCAAAACGCTTGAATTTTGGATAAAAAGATCCATCCTATCACTGGGCAAAAGGCAGGGTACAAACTGGACATGTCAGACACACTCATTATCCTATCACACTCCAACAACCAGAAGACATCTGTCCAGCTGTTAGCTGCCTGGGGAACTGGGTCGCCGTGCATATATGGCCATTCCATCAAAGTGAATGCAAAGATTTCAAATAAAATGCGAAGCTACAATTTGTTGCCTTTTAAATAATACATAACTTTATTCATAAAGTACCAAATGACATTATCAGTATCCTCGATGTGCTTTCTATTGTAGGGTAAAGACCCTACAATAATACAGAGGACCCACCAACAATCAGAAGACCCCCCATGAGCCATGACTTGGTGACAGTGGGAATGAAAAACAGCTTTTAAACAGGAAAAAAAACCTCAAGCGAAACCAGAGATTAACAATAACTTTAAAATACCAGCATTATTACAGAAGAACCTTCTGTTTTAAGCACCAGGATGCGACTCTAGCAACTGTTAAAGTTAATACTCACTGGGTAGTATTTGTAGCTCTCATGTGCTCTGGTTCTCGAAAACTGACACTTGGGTTGTGTCACTGAAATAGTTTGCACTATTTGTGGCCTTACAATACATATTTGTTTAAATCTGGGGTGAGAACAAATATAGTATCCTCTGCAATCTTCCATTCATCTAAAAGGGGGGAAAAAAGCCCCTTCTGCAACCAGCCTTATAGCCCATTTGTGTAGACGTTAAAATGTTTGTGATTGGTCTGGCTAAAAATTACAGTAACTTGCTAGATGTATTTTTCCCAAGGTAAATGGTAAAAGGAAAATCCCACTTGAAAACATTTTGGATGATACTGCAGTACTCAAATAAGATGACAACTCCATCAGGACTACCTTGATGCATGCTTAACCATCCAGGTAAGGAAATACCACACAGTTGATTCTGTTCTGGACGTTGCGTTTTCAGCGGGAGAAATGTTTCATCACTCATCCAGTCTCAGTATCACTGAGTGGTGAACTGTTTCTCCCAATGAAAACGCAACATCCAGAAGAACAGAATCGGCTTTCTGGGGTATCAGAACTACTGTTAAAATCGCAAGCTTTACACCGTCTCTGTCATCACCACACCCAGGGCTGCTAAGCCTTTTGCCTCCTTACCATGGGAACAAAAAGAAGCCTGCAAGTTAAAAAGTCTCAGCTTTTCTTAATTAACTGACTCCCATTCAGTGTAAAGAGACATTTAATCACTCGAATGTATATTTATTGTGCTTCACTAGATCCCTGCATTGCAACAGTTAAAGACAATGCAGGGAATGGAAATGAAAAGATAGTAAGTGCATTAGTGATGTAAGTTAATGTCACCCTAATTGATTTGATCCTTTCAGCAGCTTGATAGTACTGTGATTGATTTTGATCTTTAATTTATAGTTATTTCGCTAGAAAATAATCATCCATCCATCCATTAAATTTATCTAATCATCATTCCCAGAAATAAAACTGCTTTCTGTGCACACCACATAAGATGTTTTGTGATCCATTCGATCTATCTTTGCTGTAGTTTTTTGATCTACAAAAATGACCGATGCTTGTCTTGTCCTAAATCTAAAGTTCTCAGCAAACATGCCTCGCTCTGGCATGGTATACATCCATGCTGTGGATGTATGCTATGCCATACAGTATACAGTAAATGAGGGATGAAGAGGAAATGAGATTGGTTGTAGCTGCAGCCTGTAAATCCTGCGCTGCTGCTGCCTGTTCTGACTGGCATGGAGTGTCCAAGCGTTTCCATCTTGTATTTATGTCTGGGGGCCAATCAGTTCATATCCCCGACACCGCCCACGCTGCCATTAACACAGAGTAATGCAGAGACCATCGAACATGCCTGAGCAACTTCACTCCACCACGTTGGCCCTAATGATTCCCCACCCTTGCTATTGATCTCTTGGGCGCTTGTTCAGCTGCTTTTACGGTAAAGTGAAAACGTGCAATCTTCAGTCTCCCATTTCAAAGCAAACTAAAAAAAAAAAAAAAGTCTTAATTAAGGCGCGAAAGTTGGAAGGCAAAATTCTTTTGCTGTTGTGTTTGAGGCAAAGGTTTTTAAAAGCCTTCACCATCTGCTTTGTGTGTGTGTGTGTGTGTGTGTGTGTGTGAGTACTTGCAGACTCTAGTTCACAAGAAACTGAGTATCCTTGAGGGAAAATGGCTTCACAAAAGCCTTTGAAATTCTCTGCAATGGAAAAAAAAAAACCTACCTTGCTACTATCTTGCTTCAGTGAATCTAGGTAACACATACACTAAGATGCATGCATGCATCCATAAATGCACCTACATAGACTCTCCCACAGACAAACGTACGCACGCACACACACGAATGTACAGACCTTGTACAAACAGCCTCGCTGTTTTCCTATCAACGCCCTGGAGATCACAGGTCACTTCTCCCTGGTCGTGTCTCTCTGTGTTATTCAGGACAAGCATCCATCCGTCTTTCTTTTTTTCAGCCATCAGACTCATATTCGTGTTGGGGGATTGCAGGACACCATGTTTATTAGAGATAGTGAGTGCTACCTCACCATTCAGCAGCCAAATCATAGCAGTCCACTGGCTGTTAGAAGGAGTGCAGGTAAATCTGGCCTTTTCCCCTCTCAGGACCGTCAGGTTTTCTGGGAATAGTTTTATTTGAGCTTCAACTGCAAAAAACCAGCATAAACAAAACATTGTCTGTAATTTATTTGTTTATTTTACATCAAGTTTGATCTAGAAATCTGTCTGAAATTATCTTTGAGATAAGTCAAACAAAACAAATCTCCAGAGCATCACTTCTTACCACTGCTGAAGTACTTTTAAAGAAATATTTGAACATTTTGGGAAACAAACTTACTGGCTGTCTTGCTGAGAGTTACATGAGAAAATCTATCGTACTCAAACAGCAAGCAGCCGTGTAGCATAGCTTAACATAAGGGCTAAATTCATGGGGGAGCAAGTAGCTTCACTCAGTCCAAGAGCAAGAAAAATTGTCTGCCAAAATATCTAAAGCATCACACACTGTGTATCATGTAATCCAAGAAATCGCTTTACTTTTTTTGCCTGATGCATATTGGCTGCTTCAAAACCAGAGTTCACATACAGCATGATCACCCACTGGTAGTTCATTATTTAAAATGGAGTCATGAATTAGTCAACTAAAAAATATATTTTTCTTTTTTCATTTCATATTCAGGGAATAAGCACAAGTTCAAGATGAAGACATTAAAACATTAAAGAATAAACGAAATAACCAGAAATGTGTCCATTCAGGTTGTCTGAAGAACAAAATCAAGTGTGACTCAAAATTACACAATGATTTCAAAGAAATTGTTGTGTTTTTTTTACACTTATGCTTTTCGATTTATTAACTGTAATGTCTTACCAGCAGCATCTCAAAGCATTTAGACATTCAGACATGGTCAAGATGACCTGTTGAAGTTCAAACTGAGCATCAAAATATGGAGGAAGGTTGCTTTAAGTGACCTTGAATGTGGGATTGTTGTTGGTGTTAGAAAAGCTGGTCTGGGTATTTCAGAAGCTAATTATCAGCTGGGACTTTCCCACACAAGTATCTCTAGGTTTACAAAGATTGGTCTGGAGAAGACAAAATGTTAGCTAAGAACAGAAAACTGAGGCTACAATTCATATCGGCATACAAAAACTGGACAATAAAAGATTGGCAAAAACTTTGCCTGCTCTGATGTATCCGCGATCTTGTTCTTTTGGTCGTTACCCAAAGCTCATGACCATACAGTAGGTAAGGATAGGGACGTAGATCGACGGGTAAATCGAGAACGTCGCTTTTACGCTCAGCTCTCTCTTCAGCACAACGGACCGGTACTGTGTCTACATCACTGCAGCCGCAGCACCAATCCGTCTGCCGATCGCCTGCTCCCTTCTCCCCTCACTCATAAACAAGATCCAGAGATACTAAAACTCTTCCACTTGGGGCAGGAACTCGTCTTGGACCTAGAGTTGAGGACGATGGCCCCAGACTTGGAGTTGCTGATTCTCATTCCCTCCCCTTCACACTCAGCTGTGAACTGCTGAAGTTCCACCACCTGATGAAGCCAACAGAACCACATCATCTGCAAAAAGCAGAGGAGATTCTGAGACTGCCCAAGTGGAAGCCTGCCGCTACTTGGCTACGCATAGAAATTCTGTCCATAAAAATCATGAACATTTCAGTGACACAGGGCAGCCAAGACGATTGGCCTACTTCTTCAGCCTGATGGCTCCCTTCACCCCACCATCTGATTGACAGGCAACAAACACCATGCGATCACAGCTCAGCGCAGCATCTTCAGCAATTGAGGTGCTGAACATGGTGCATTTGGACTCAATGCTCTCACCTCCAGTGTCCCTCAGCTGGAGGTGAGAGCAAGCCAGGGGGATACTACAATACCCACCCCAGCCTACCGCCTCTCACCACGGGCAACTCCAGGAGACTAGTTGCAGAGCCCAAGCTGTGCATTAAGGTGAGCCTGACGATATCTACCTGGTACTTCTCAACCACACGCACTAACTCAGGCTCCTTCTCCACCAGAGAGCTGACGTTCGATGTCCCAATCATTAGTCTCAGTAGGCCTCAGTAGTCCTATCCCAGGCATGGTGAACTGTTCCCTAGATTTTTCACTCATAGGGGTCTTTTGAATCACTCTTTGTCTGGTCCCTCACCCATGAACCAATTTGCCATTGGAGACGCTATTAGGGTGAAAAAGACCCCTGATAAAATAGCCCCTGGGATCCCTGGGACACACAAACCCCTCCACCATGATAAAGTACCGATTCAAGAAGATAAAATTGCTAAAAAAAAAAAATGTAACATGTAAAGAGAATGAGTGCGAGACAGTAAGAGACAACACAACTCCCTGATTTTGTTTGTCACTTTGGCAAATTCTTCTTATTAATAAGTTTAACAGTTCACATGTCGACATGTAAACAGTGGACAAAATAGAGATACACTGAGTTAGGAAGAAAGAGGGACACTGAAAAGATATGGTTAAAGGAAGAGGGGTTTTGGATGGTTTCTGTGTCAGTGGGATAGTTACAAAAGTCAGACATTACCCTCCAAAAATAATTGAGCTTTCACCTCAATTTAACACATCATTGGACCAGTGAGAAACGTTTGGGGCATTCACCAAAGAAGAGGGTCTCATGCTAATAGAGATGTAGCCAAAATCTTTCATTGTTTGTCAGGGAATGAGGTCCGGTCCATTGGGACTCACAATAAGAAAACACTGGAGTAACACATTTTAACAATAACTACATATAAAAACCAACAATGATGAGATAAGTGGGACAAAAATAGATGAACACATTCAAGATGAACAAATGTTAGGGCGCGTTTTTCATCTTTCTACAAAAAAATCACCCAGACACAGAAACAAGGATGCAAATAAAAACACAGTTGAATTCCAGAATGTTTTGTGGCTTTCCGAAGCCGAGAGGTAAAAGAAAATAGGAATTAATATTAATGGCGAACCTCGAAACGTGTCGTTTATGGCACAGTGCCCGGGGTGATGTATAACTTGTTTGTGGTGAGATAACTGCACCTTCTATAGCCCGTGTGCCGAGTTGTGAATTATGCATCCATTTAGGAAATTAGGTCTGAGAAATATCTAGGCCAGCCTATAGAGCAGTTTCTTTTCATTGTTATGAGAGAATGTCAAACTAATGAGCATAATTTCTGCTTCCTCCTGTTGGGACCATGAACTAGTGACTCTGAAGTCCCCTGACCACTGGGTACATCTAATTGTTAACTAGACAGGCCATTCTTAAGAAAATTAATTACAAAGTGAAGATAGATCATTAGGCCCTCTAATTATTGTCTGTGGTTTTAATCTGACGGATGCTGCTAACAAGCACAGCACACCAATGAATGAAGTTGTTAATTCGAGCACATTACTGGTCTCTGTGTCACATCCCCAGACAAACAAACTGTGCTTGTTTTCAGCTGAACTCTCACCTTCAGTCCTCCATGACAGTAGGAGCACTAACAGAGGGAAGGTGTCCATGACTGATCAGTCAGTCCAGTCAGTCCATTATTCAAAGCAGAACGATCCTGAAACAACAGTGATTCTGTTATTCCCTTAATGGATGCAATGGTCAATCATAATTGCATGTTTTTAACCATGACGGAATATCAAAACATTTATCATTTATTCATGGTTCCCAGCATATTAACCCTCATTATTATGATGATCATGCAACTTCTAAAGCTTTCTGTTGCCATCTGTTGTGAATATTTTAATGCCTCCTTGATAGATACGTACAAAATTTTGCAAATATATTCATTGTTTTAAGAGGGTGAACAACTTTGAGGCTCATTTGGCTTTTCCTCTCATGCCAGCAGTAGGACAAACACTTTCTTCACGCTTTAAAAATATCTCAGATTCTCCACTAGATAGCTTGGCAGAACAACTCCATGGTTCTTAGAGAAGGAAACCATGACAGCATTATTAGTAACATTAATACGAATTCTATTAACTCCTTTCAGCACCTTAGAAATGCCTGAACCTTCCACAGTTAAATATGGAGGTCAGAAATTAAATACATTCAATTTACTGCCAGATTCCTCCTTATTGTCAAAGCTCTGATCTGCCTCCACTGTCTGTACTTTCTGTGTTAATTTTAGAACTCCAACACAAAAAATGATGAAAAGAAAAATGCGACAAAATGTCTGTTTGTTAGATTCAAACCCTGTGAATTTACACTTTTTAAAAAAAATGAACTCGGAATTTATTTAAATTGAAGGCATCAATGCAAACAGAGCCAACCCGAGTTACACAAACTGTAAATTAAGTCTGAATAAACCTGTGATAAAGCTCTGTGCTCTCTCTAACACAGGTGCAGCGATCGCTACACGCTCAGAATAAACACCATCTTACCCCTCAGGTACAGTGTGAGCTACTCGATCAACTGCACTTGCCTCCTAACCATTCCTTTCTCAAACGATCCAAAGCAGCATTTTCAAAAATCCAGCTGTGTAATATTTCACTCACCTTGATCTGGAGTTTCTGTGTATGAGAAGCAAACAATGTCATCGATGTTTTCTAATTCCACTTCATGCGTGGTGCTCAGCCATATCACACCAAACTGTCCCGTTAAATATTACCAAATTCAGTGGGAACTTTGGCCCATGCTGCACACACATATACGTAAATACACAGTGTGGGAGAGACTGCAAATATTGCCCATTGTAATTCCTCAGATCCCAGGGGCCTTACAGAGTCCCTCCCTTTTCAAATTATTGAATTTAAAGGATGATGTATTTTTATTGGAACACAGTAGATGTTTGATGGATCACAGAATACATCACTTTTTTATAAAAGCGGGAATCTTTTGTTTTTGGTCAGATCAAGAGAGCTAACACATCTGTAATTAATATTTTCTTCTTTTTTCTTCTACATAATTATCACATTTCATGACAGTTGTCAGGCAAATACTGTAATTTTTACTGTATTAAATTTTTTAACAGTTTTAGTTATTACAGTGCCCCCCACTCTAACATGCAGATCAATTTATTTATTGAACTTTTATGTACTATGTGCTTCCTTTCTGAACTTTTGGTTGATATTCTGTCTCTCCATTAAAATTAAACATAATAATAAAACACTTTTCCTTTCTTTGTAAGTGAGCAATCTTACAAATGCAGCAGGAGATCATGTAACTATTTCCCCCACTGTAGTTATTCATTGAAAGAATTTATCTGTGGCATTCCTGCACACATTAGACGTTGGTGAATACTGGGCATAGTAATAATGCCTATCCTGTAAAGCCTGTACTGCACATGCCTGACCCTTTTTTGATCATCTATCTAAAAATAACACTGCATGTTCTCATCCACCTCTACAAGAAAATCTCATGGGACGAGGCATTTGTTTTCCTGTTGACCCCTACACTCCCCAACATGCACAATAGCCCATTCTTCTTTAAATATGCCAACAAAAGAGTTTAAATAAAGATCCACTGAGAATGTTTTTACGAGTCCACTTTATTTTCTTTTCCAACATCTCAGCCACATCTCACTCTTCGTTCAACAAAGTGCATTGATTAGACAGCATTTCTGGCAGAAGTAGCTGTGGCGGTGGTGGAGGGGTTTGCAGTCTTGCAGCATGTGTCTATTTCCTTTCTCGCTGCCATTAGAAGTCGCAGTTTGAATTTACACACTCGCCGTTAGATAAGGCATGAAGTTAGGAGCACAAGAACAGAACTGTTATGAAAGAGTGACTTATGACACTTTGAATCTACAAGCCAGGAGTCACAAGCTAGGATATGCCAGGATTTCCTTCTTCTTTTTTTTTTTCTTCATAGGTCGTCGGCCTTTTGTGTTAGAAAACTAGAACTTCTACAAGTACAACATGGGAAAAGGGTCTGAGTTTAACAAAACCACTGTGCATTTTACAAAAAGCTGCTCATGGCAAACAACCACACCAACACCGCTAGGCTACTTTGCTCGTTTTTCATTACAGTATGTCTGTACACGCAAAATATAAAAATTAAGTCAACATTGCAGTCAACAGGGAAGGGTGTAAGGCAAATGTGGGTTAGGCGTTTTCAGCTGGGATGGAGCCTTCAAGCACATGACCAGTGGTTTCCAGTAGGGTCATGTGCTGCTTTGCGGAGACGTAGAGGGGCTTTCTGATGGGGCTGAGGGGGGCGGGCCAAGTGTCAAGGGTCAGGAAGAGATGGAAGGGGAGGCTCCTTCGGGCTGCAACACAAGAAAAACAGATGACTAGAAATAGGTCACACATTACTGAGTTGTCCGTGGTGGCTGAGGAAGACACCACCATCGCCACGCCTGTGCCACCCAGCGTGCCGGCACCTCCTGAGGCACTTCTGAAGCTCACTTAACAGCTTTCACAAACGAGGCGTGACAGGGGCTCGCAGGGGCTGGCGCACAGCTTAGAGAGGAGGGAGGGGAGGAAGGAGAGTGGGCACTGCCACTCTTTCAGGGCCAGCTCTAAAGCTATTCCTTCAGTGGGACATAGAGGCCTTAAACACACAAAAGAGCTAAAAGAAGATTAGAATTTTTAATCACCACAAATATCTTCATTAGTCCCACTGACTCAGAGGGAAAAACAGGGGATAGTGAGATGCTTTGGTGGTGGATCTAGGTGATCCCCAGGCATGCTGTGTACCCACTGAAGCGGTTTGCAGAGGAGTCAACAGTGGCAGTCCTCTGCAAACACGCTGCAGCAAGTGCAGGTTAAAAAGATAACTCCTTCCAAACACCAAGGTGAAGTAAGCAGGATCTTAGCGCTTTAATGAAAAACTTGCCTGTTTTAGATATTAATGCATGCCACTGCATCATGCATATAATACAGGTTGCGTAATTGTATTTTGCACAGAGCTTTGTTAACAGGGTCAAAGAAGCACAAAAAAAGAAGGAAAAAAAAATCTGTACTGAATGCAAGTTTATCTTTTTAATTAATCTGGTTACATAAATGCCAAAGAGAAAAGCAACACACTGAAGTTTCTATCCATTCTTCTACCGAGCCACATAACATCGCACTGCCCTCCAGTGGTAAAGCAGAAGCACCGGAGAAAAGCAGAGGGTTTTACCTGGAGAGCAGTAAATCGACATCATCAGCATCGCTTAGCTTCAACTACTCCGCCTCTTCCTCCTGTTAGAAGACAAAATCATGTATTGATAACCAACACACACACAGAGAAAGCAGAGACACGTGGCAGTGGTAGAAGGTCGGATTAAAATCTGTTTAAAGTGCCTTTGTGTATTCTATTCTAATGTTTCTAACGGTGCAAGCTTTAATTTGTGGGGAGAAAAAAAAAAAAAAAAGATCCCAATGATAGCTGAGACTCTGTCGTTGTTAAACCTTTTACCTGGATGCGTCTCATCAACCGGAGAAGGATTTGTGGGATTCAAAGTGGAAAGACTGCAGTTGTTTCTTAGTTTGTTGCATAAATAAAACAAAACTATTTGAATTGCAATTTAAAAAAATAAAAAATAAAAAAAAACCACAGTCTTTACTATGAGTGAGCTACCAAGATGTGTGATGTGTGTTTGTGTCGCACACAAAGATCTTCCCTCTTTACAACACTGGACCAGGCATGGCAAGCACAGGCAGAAGACCACATGTGACAAACTGCTGTAATACTACCTGTGTTTCTTCCAACTCTTCTTCTTCTTCCTCTTCCTCCTCCTTTGAAAAAAATTAAAAAATAAAAATAAAAAAAGAAGAGGGAGGGGCTATGTGAAGTCATGGCTTAAATAGGGAGAAGGTGAGACGACTTCCCATGTTAGTGGCTGTGTTAAGGATGGGTTAAAAATGGAGAAGATGTCAAGCGTGGGCAGTGGTGATGACAGCAGGGTCGGAAAAAAAAACTGAGGAAACTAGTGATGGAGTTCTGTTTTTAATGAGATGACCTAAGTGAGACAAGAGTGGTGCTTAAGCAGGCGCACCGTGTAAGATGAGGTTAAACTGCGTGTCACGTGTTTTAAGTGTTACCACTCAAGCCGCGAATGCTGTTCCTGGTTAGTTTTGAAGTAAACAACACGCTCACCGAGGTTATCTATTATTCGATCCTACAACCACTTTATTCCAACAGGTGACCCAAACTAAGAGAGCAGTAAGCCTGGAAACAACGCAGTGTGTCGTCTAACGTGAAATGTTTTTTCTTTTTCTGAGTATTGCATGAGAACAAGATGTGCTCCGTCTCCTCCATCTTCTTTGAAACTTGTCACATCCACTTCACGTCCACTTTCTTCAGATTGCTCTTGGCAAAAAAGGAACAAAAGCCATGGCTTCTTTAAAAAGAAAAAAAATGTCATCCTGTCAAGTCAGTGCGCCCCATCTCCCAGTACAACAAAACCAAACATGTCCGAGTTATCCTCACGTGCGTGCAGGCCAAGTTTTAAAAGAAGACAACAGAACGTTCAAGCATTTTTTTTAGGTATCAAAACTAAAAAAGTGAAAACGTCTTGGCAGACTTGCAGAATGTTTCTCTGTGAAAGTTTCATAAAAGTTTGCTCCAACTCTGAACAACCTCATCTTTGTCCTGGCTTGTTTGAGGCCATATGAGTTATACTGCACACAATATTCACTGAACCAATGACAAGTACGATCTTGAGGAGAGAGAGTTCGCCTGAACATGTGCACACAGTCTTTCTCTGCAATCGGATCATGCATGAAAAGAAAAATCCCAGTCTCTGTGTGATTCACACCGTGCAAAACTTATACAAAGATTCTATAATCCAGATATACCTCTTGCATTTCAGCCTCTTCTTCCTCCTGTGGAACACGAAATCAGGCAGTTTTGAAAAAGAAACCAACATTATGGTCCATATGTGACTCGCATATCTGTTACTACATGAAATCCACCTTTAAGGTTTAGGTCAAATATGATCAGGTTTATCATGCTGCAAACCAGCAGGCATGTCCATGGAAAGTGGACCTAAAAGTCCATGCAGCACACCAAAAGAAAGAAGGAGAAAGGGAGAGAAGGGCAAGTCTGTCAAGCTTTAAAGGAATTAATTAATTAATTAAAAAAAAAAAAAAAAAAAAAAAAAAAGTAGAACCACCAGAAACTACAGTACTGCCTTGTTCGTCTTGCTCCTGCAAGAGAGGTTGGACAAGGACAAAACAGATGGGAAGGAAGAGCGGAAAAACAGCAGGGCGAAGCACTGAAGCATAAGCAGCGTAAACTCAAGCAGAGGCTGGAATGTCTCTGAGAAGCAGAGCCCTTTTCACACAGCACTTAGAACCAGACTTTTTTTTTTTTTTTAAACAACTTTTTGAACCAACTGATTATTCATTGTGTTGGTGTGTTGCAGGGGGCAGAGTCTGATTTAGGGAATGGTTAAAGTGTGGACTCTTTAGAGGAGCTACCCTTGAGATGAGCAACGCTGGGTGAAAAACCGGCTGGGCTGACTCACCAGACTTCAAACCCTGTCCACAGGGTGCAGACTGAAAAACAGTGCGAAAGCAAGTGAGTTTGCTTTTTGAAAGTTGGGTCACATGAAGTTGAAAAGTTTTGGGGATGTGTCCTGACAGGCAAAATCCAGGGCAAAAAAAGGCCCACAAAGCACTCTTTCAACATAATGACATAACTGAGGAAAATGGATTATTACATTGTTACCATGATTGTCTTTTTTAATGAGCCCTATATTGGTCATTTCTTTATGAGAATTACTTCAGGTGCTGTATTAATCATCACTCTGGATGAT